TCTCATAAGCTCTAGCAGTGTTTTTGGTGCTGTCAAGAGACTCTGCAAGCTACAGGAGCTGGGCACTGCCTTGTGGGATGGAGCCTTAGCCATCTCCCCTGGTTTAAAATGTATATATGTATACACACACACACCCTCTATGTCTCTCTGAGGTCCTTTGCTGGAATTGCCTGTTCGTGCTGAATCCCAGATCTAGGGTGGTGTTTCTGCTGCAGTGCTTCATCACTGCTCAGGCAGGGACCTTGGAGGTGAGTGCTGAACGCCTCTCGAGGCTCTGAAGACCTGAGGTTCCCTACCTCTGGTTGGTTGGTTGGTTGGTTGCTACTGCTTTGCCAAGAGATACCCAGGAGATCCCACTCTGGGAGTCCTTGTCTCCCTCCACGCTTTATCCCCTAACTTCTGTCCTTTTTTAGCCATTGCTGCCTCCCCTCTGGCTCCCAGTTCCTACTTTCCTCCTTCAGCACTCTAGGCAATAAGGTGCAAAAGCTGCACCTTTCCACCGCCTCCCCCCATCCCGGTGCAGCGCTCCTTCCCTTCAGAGGGCCCAGCAGGAAGGCTGCTCCTGTCAGCGGGAGATGGGCTCACAGTCCCTGTGCCTTGTGTTGCCTTAACCAGCAGCAGCAGTTGTGGTTTGGGAAGCCAGGATAAGTATTAGCAGCTCTTGGCTGAACACGCTCAGCAGAGGCTGGGTATGGATCACCACCAGCTAAGTCACTGATGGCTCAGCCAAGTCCTATGTGAAAAAAGCAGGAGATTGTTCAGATGACTCAGAAAAACTTTTTTACATAGCACTAATAAGGCAGAAGGATTACCAGGAAAAAAAGATGGAATTTAAGGAAATGCAACACAGATTGCAATTTTTTCCAAGTTTTTAGTCATAGAGGACAGGGAGAAGGAGCCACCAATTTCTGAAAATGTTTGGGTCTCCTCTTCAGAGAGGATTTTGCTAGGTAGAAGTTTACTGACATTTTCCTGGGTTGCCTGAGGCTACCTAGTGAGGCTGGTGCCAGCTTACTTTAACATATGTAACATCTGTTGTCTTCCAGGCTGTGATAATGGCTGCAAGCCCTACATATTTAAGTTAATGAAAGTTCAATCAGAAGTTAATTAGGGCTTCTGGCTTTTCCTGCCTACACCAAGAACAGAGCAGAAGAGATTTCTTGGAAAATATGGTTGAGGAGGAGGGGATAAATGTATGCTATCAGACTGCAATGTTTAATAGACAGTTTGAGCATCATGATCTGTGCCAGTGAAGAAGAATTTCTAGGGAGCTCATTGCCTAATTCTGACATGCCTCTGGTGATGACTCCACTGCACCTCAGGTAGCTGGGCCAGGAAAAAGATTGAGTGATTGTATCTCCTTACCTCATTCCAAGCTCTCTGGGATACAAGATGCAGCAGCAAGTGTGCTGCGGCCAGTGTAAGATGAGCAGCCTTGGTTCCCGCTGCCTACAAATCCGTTATGCCTTTTGCACTTAGGGCCTTCTAGGAAGGGTTTGTGGCTGACTTGTCTGCTTGGTGCTGATGCGGAGGCAGATAGGGTGTATAAGATAAGTCATGCTGAGCAAACTCCTGTCACCCATTTGTACTGAGGAGGGCTGTATGCTTGGTTCCATACCGACAAACTTTTTTTCCCCCATTGCTTCTCCTACGCAATAATATGCCCTGGAAAAGCAAACATAAGAAGAGCAGTTGGATCTCTTGCTTCTTCATGTCTCTTCTTCACAGTGTGGAGGTGCCGAATTTCTTGATGAAAAGTTCAGAAAGTTGTTTTTCACAATGTGAACCAAATAATATATTGTCCTGTAATCGTGTCCTAGGAAAGGACAGACACTTTAGCTGGAGACCTTCAAAAAGATCAGCTGGAAGCAAATACTGCAGCCAGAGAACTGCTTCCGGTCATTGGCCAAACTCCGTTTTGTTTCAGCCTGACCCAAAAACCAACTTTTATGAGAACATTTTGAGAACTGAAGGAAGTTGTTTTACCCTTAGGTATTTATTCCAAAACAAAGAGAAAGAAAAATAACCTCAGGTCTTGTGGAAGCTTCACCAGAAGTCAGACCTAG